CATGYCAMTTTAGTARAAGYTCAATRATTCCTCATTAWTTTAAGGTGGAAAAAAGGCACGAATTACAACTGCTGGRCGGAAAGTCTCTCTACTGACAGGAATCGCTAACTGGACGACYTACATCGCGGATAATGTTACCATCTTGAAAGGATCMGARSTCGTTATCCTGTGCCCAACTGAAGGTGTTCCTGCGCCTGYTGTCTCRTTCCTTTATGACGGAAAACCATTACTGACYAATAATAGAATTAAGGTGGATTTAAAAGACARATCCATTCGAATAAAAGATTTGAAGATTAAAGATTCTGGAACGTTTACATGTGTTGCGAGAAACGTCAGAGGAGAAGATAGGAAAAGTTCTATTCTGAATGTGTTAGGTGAGAGTGATAAGATTTGAGTGATTAATCTTCAATAAATAATAATCCAAATGACTTAMATTGTCATAATCTAATGATTCCTTTTATATTGCAGTACCATTTGGCCCAACTATGAAAATATCTAAGAAACCCATCGATGGGTTAAAATCTACCAAACCAGTCACGCTRTCGATTGGATCCAGCGTGACAGCACTTGTCAACGCAACCATCATCATCAACTGTGAGGTCAGYGGTCTTCCTATACCAAAGGTTTTCTGGATCAAAGATGGCAAGATGGTTGATTCAAAAGGTCACGTGACCGTCGATAAAAATGCGTTAAAGATCGATAAAGCGTTGCTAAGTGAYCAAGGTGTTTATACCTGCACAGCACATAGTGACGTTGGTTCTGTATCTGGCGTTTCYAAGGTTACAATCAAAAGTACGTGGCAAACTTCTCTCTGTTAATTGGTTGCAACTATTGTAGCCCGTATTGTTTTTACCTTGTCAGTTAAAAACCCTTCTTTTAATTGTCCTCAGAACCAATTCCACCTAAAATCAAATCATCAAACAAAACAATCACCTCCTTAACACAGCAAAACCTCGGCATCATCATCGGTCAAACCGTCAACACGCTGACTCGTATTGAATTCAACATCACTTGTGAAGTCGAAGGTTTACCACAGCCTGAAATTATCTGGAAAAGAAATGGTGTTAAGCTTCCGGCTGACGGTCGTACGTTTATCAACGGCCCTATCATTTACGTGACTGGGACATTGGCGAGTGATACTGGGTACTATATTTGTGAAGCGGTAAACGTCGCTGGGAACAAGACAGCGGTCTCTAAACTGAGTATTCAAGGTGTGTATGATTTCTCTCCTAATGTGGGTTTGTTTTTCTCCTTAAATGGCAACAACTTCTTTACATAGATTATATCAATTGAAATTTGTCGTTTTGTTTTAGAACCGATTCAGCCTCAAATCAATTCAACTTCCGAACGAAAGTTCCAGGATTTGCGACCTGTAACTATTCAAACAGAGATTGGTTCTTAYATAAAGACACTRGAAACTAGTAATGTTACTCTGACATGCGCAGCWAGTGGCTTYCCAACACCTACCATTTCCTGGAAAAAAGGTGTAACGACCCTAGAGGGTCATGGGAACACGACATACTCYATTATTGRTGCTAAGGTYGCTGACAGTGGGATTTACACGTGCACAGCCAGGAATATCAAAGGGTTGGACTTCAGAACAACTAATATCACGATTGTCGGTTTGTAGCAATAGTTTGTTCTTGCTTGATTTGTTCTTGATTGTTTCTCTACTTTTTTGCCTGTTGGATTGTTTGTTTGCTTGMTTGGTCGCTCGATGTGATCGTTTCATCTTTATTTTCTCAGCTCCAATTAGGCCAGTTATTCATACAGCATCCGAAAATCTCAGCGTTCTTCGCCTTGAGCCCGTGACTACAAATCTTGGTAAATCCGTGTCTACTTTAACTGGTAACACAATCATCTTGAGGTGTAACGCAACGGGCGTACCGTCACCCTCATTACAGTGGTTCAAGAATAACGAAGAACTCAAGAACACCGACAATACGTTAACCATACAGGATGGAAAAGCAAGCCAATCTGGTATCTACWCTTGCATCGCGAGAAACCTTGCAGGAGAGACGAAAGCAAGCACAGATCTAAGGATATTAGGTATATTAGAGCTACTGAAATGAAGTATTCTACTGAAAGTATTGTATTCACTCTTTTCTGTTTGATATAGATGGGAAGTCTCCATCAATCCTTACTTCCAACGAAACCGTTACCAGGACAACGCAGATTACATATATCGTTACTAAGGTCGGTGGTGTCATCAATACTTTGCTGAGTGCCAATGTAGAAATAACCTGTCAGGTCAGCGGGTTTCCCCCACCGAAGGTCACGTGGTTTAAGGGTGATAACGAGGTTCGTAGTGATCCTACAATCACAGTGAATAAGAACGAGGCTTTGATGTTTGTTAGTATTGCACTGAGGAGRTCTGGAATCTATAAGTGTGTVGCTACCAATCCTCTTGGGTCTGCCTCGGCCACGACGATTCTGAATGTTAAAGGTAAGTTTTTTTTCTTTATTGTTTTAATGTTCAGTTATTTGTAAGGTTTGTGGTTTATTTTATTTCCTTTTCTTGTTTTCATTTTAGGCCTTAAACATCCATATATCAATAGTAGTCGTGGTGTCATCAAAAACCTCGAGTCACGTGACCACCGTAGAATCTTTATTGGTCAAGATCTCATTGTTCTCTCTGGAACCAACATTTCCATCACTTGTCCATCTGGTGGTATCCCGATACCCGAAGTTACTTGGAAAACTGGAAATGGTGACGGTTTGCCTRTTGATCGATTCAGTGTTTATGGACGAGAGTTGAACGTTGTTAATGTTACTGGAGAGGATACTGGACGATATGTTTGCCATGCTGAGAATGTTATGGGAGAAATATCGCACGGCTCAAACCTCAATGTCCTTGGTGAGTTGCTTTCTACTTTTACTCATTCCTTCTCCATAATTTTACGATATTATTGATCAAATTAAAATGTATTTTCTTCAAATTATTTAGATCCAGAAAAACCGTTTATTTCTAAAAAGTACGAWGACTTMAAAATCATTGCACGAGAACCAGTGCAAGCGACCATTGGCTCTAAAATCACCACAATTCCTGGCAATAGACTAACTCTAACGTGTAATGTTAGCGGGCTTCCTGAGCCTAAGATTGTCTGGAAAAGGAACGACCTGCTTGCGCAAAAAGGTGGATCTACCTATGAAATATCTTCACTGACAACATCAGATACTGGTGCTTATACATGCAGTGCTAGTAACTTGGCTGGAGAGGTGACAGTGACATCACACGTCTTTGTTCTCGGTAAATACTTTGTTATACRTACTCCTACATCAATGAAATCAGCCAATCCATATTTCTGAATCAGTCCCACGTCTAAATATCTTGCTTTTCAATGATAACCCTTTCTTAAATTGTTTTAATTGTCCGTCAGTATTGCTATATTTATAAAACATTTTAAATATAAATTAACATTGTAAATATGTTTKGTGAAGCAAAAATCTTTTTATTTTCTTATTTCTTTATCTACAGTTGGCAGTAAACCTAGAATAGTYACCCCTAAAGTCAACGTGAAAGCAACAGAAGGTGAAAACGACGTTAGCATTGAAGTCGGTGGTAATTTAACGACAATAGTAGGAACTGGTGTAGAAATACACTGTAAAGTCGAGGGAATACCACGCCCAACGGTCACGTGGTTAGTTAACGGCTCCGTTGCCTTGACDACGGCTGATCGGTTCGACAACAAAGAGACCAATGATTTGATTCTGCTTGGAGTGAAATTAAATGACATTGGTTTTTACACGTGTTTTGCTAACAACACCTTTGGTCACGTGTCGGAGACAACTCACCTTAGCGTCTTTGGTAAGTATACACCACTCTTTAGGAGGATTGTTGAAGCCAATCGATGTGTATTGTCCTAGTATGTTATGATGAAGATTATGATGATGATGATGATAATGATGATTATGATTATGATGGTGGTGATGATGATAATGATGATAACAATGATGATGATGATAATGATGATGATAACAAAGATGATGATGATGATGATGATAACAATGATGATGATGATGATGATAACAATGATAATGATGATGATGATGATGATAATGATCACTTATTGTATTCTATTTTTCAGCTGCTAAAGGACCGGTTATCCGATTCTCCAAGTCCCAAATAGAGGACTATGATGCTATGGAACACAGGATAACAATAGGGGACAGCTTGACTACATTAATCAGTACAACTGTCACTATAGTATGTAATGCCACAGGGAACCCACCACCTACAATAACCTGGACAAAATCAGGTTCTACGCTACTTCAAAGAAGACAATTCAAAGCTGAAAATAACACCTTGAAAATTCATGTTAGTTCTTGGTCTGATACTGGACAGTACGAATGYACTGCGACCAACGCGGCGGGAATGGATAGAAGRACCTCMTTCATTAAGTTTGTCCGTAAGTAATTACACTGGGAAACACGCTTTTATTAWTGTWTTCCGATATTATTTGAAGTATTTTCAATGAAAATYCGCTGTGCTTTGATCCTTCAGCTCCAGAAAAACCCATTATCAACCGGACGTCAGTCATCATTGAAACTTACAACAGAAARCCCGTAACCATGGCAATAGGYAGTACTCTTAAAACCCTGACCCAGACCCCTATCACTATCACATGTAACGCMTCTGGGATCAGCACACCWAMGTACTCATGGGAAAGGAAGGGAGYACCTATTGTACCCTCKAAACAGTTTGAAATATCTAAGGATGGTAARGAGTTGACACTTCGTGATGTAAGCWTAGATGATTCAGGGATTTACAGCTGTACCGCAAGTAATAAAGCTGGTCAAGACACAGCAATGTCACCTATTCTAATGACTGGTGRGTATACAAGTTCAACGTCGTCTTTSTCATGTGTAAAACCAAGTGAATTCAATAATTTTACCTGATTTGCTTCAGAGTTTATTTCATTGCTTGTTCTCTTTAGAGTTACTTGTTTTACAGAATTTTATTTTTTATCATGAAATATTGTACGTCRCGTGCATTAGCTTTGCGCAGAATTGATGAATTGAAAACATGTCAAGTTTAAAGTGCTACTTGCATGAAAATGGCCTTATTTCAAAACTCTAAGCAATACAAATATATGACTCACATATATCTATTAAAAGCAATTGCGGGAAAATCTTTGTTTTGGAATTGTCTCACCTCAGAGAAATTTTGATTCAAAAGATGGGAGAACAAAAGGATGGAGTAAATGACGTCATCTACTCCAACATTTTTTGACCAAATTATTAAAGATTTGTATCAATATCTTCTTAAAATCTGTTGTTTCATGATTATATGACCCATATGGATAGTTCTATTTGATTTCCAAGTCTTTTCTAATGTTTCGCAATTTTCGTCCAAGTAGCCCTTTAAACTTCAAACTCGTTATATCACTTCAGAACCTTCGCTACCAGTAATTCGGGCCACTGACGAAAACATCACTTGGTACGACAGATTGCCCGTGTCCACCCGTGTTGGGGGTGAAATATTAGCCCTCACTGGTACCCAGGTCACTATTACTTGTCAGGCTCGCGGTTTTCCCGAGCCCATGGTKTCCTGGAGACTAAATGATGARACTAGTGCCCTTGAGACCGATGGTCAGTATAAGCTGGTAAACGACAGTCTTGTGATTTTTGCTGTTCAACCCAGCGATAGCAGTAGATACCGATGTATTGCCAGTAATTTGGCAGGAAATGTCCAGTCACAAACCAAACTGAAAGTCATTGGTAAGTTATGGTCGGATMCTAATATACGAACACTTTCTTAAGAAGAACTTTTGTCCGTTATATTGGGGGTCATGGCTAGAGTAATGAAGTTGTTGTTGTTTGAATCGCAACTTGACATCCCCGGAGACTCTGTCTTCAGCTACAAGGCAACAATATCATTGGTATTTGGTATTTTGATCTCATTACTTTTAAAAATTTTTAATTCAAAACATTTCAGATCCTGAAGAGCCAGTAATTTTAATATCCGACAAGATCATCAGAACAGAAGACCGTATTCCCGTCACAGCAATTATCGGAGATCGTATAGTGGTRTTATCCGGTACTACGGTATCAATCCAATGCCCTGTTAAAGGAATTCCCGTACCAGCCGTGTCCTGGAGTAACGGTGGAAAGTTTCTCCAACCAAAAGATGTTAAGCGGACGTTAGTATTGAATAATACATCGTCTGCTAATAGTGGCGAGTACACGTGCACTGCTATAAGTCCTATTGGTGGCGATGTTGCGTCATCAACGGTGTTATTCACAGGTAATGTATTTCATATTGGGACTTATTTTCCCTTCCTGGAGACTTATTTCACAGCTATAGATGCTGTGGCATCGCAGTCTTTCATTTTGCCTTTCCTTTCCTTAATTTCGTTTCTTTCTCTCATTTCATTCCTTCTTCTTCTGCTTCCCTTTCCCATCCATCCATCCTTCACGGACCTTTCCTCATTTGTTTGACCTTGATTTACCAAACAAATGTATTTACCATTACAAAATTTATTTGCTTTGTACATACAGATCCACTAAAACCAGTCATCCAGATTCCATCAATCTCCAAAGTGATTCAATTAAGCACCAAAGCCAAAGTAAACATCACCGTCCCTGACACAGTGACAGTATTCGAAGGAACAACTKTAGTTATTGAATGYCCTGCTATTGGTTTACCAAAACCTAWAATAACATGGGAAAAAGATGGCAAAAAGCTTACAAGCTCTTCTTCTGGTAATACTCTGACTGTAATACTTAGTGGAGTATCAGATGGYGGTGTGTTTACATGCGTGGCTGAAAATCCTGAAGGCACTGCACGTCAGAGCTCAGCGATTAAGGTTATTGGTAAGATACCTTCACTTAGTTGAAGAAACGTAAAAATTGTTCAAACACGCGTCTAAACAATGCTGAGACGCTTGGTTGATGTCTTTTGGTTGTCTTATTGTCTGTGCACTATGGCATATTATTAATGATATCAATAATTTTCATTCTTTTATAGAACGATCCGCCCCAAAAATCAACTCTAAATCAGGACTAATAGATTCTCTTGATAAGCAACAAGCMACGAACGCTACCATTGGTCAGAAGATTAAAACCCTAACWAAGACRYCAGTCTATATCAAGTGCCCCGCCACAGGGAGCCCAGAGCCTATTGTTACATGGAGTAAATCRGGCGATTTGATAACCWCTGGGGAGSGAATCTCAGTGACTAAAGATGGGTATCTTGTAATCCAGAATGGTCGAACATCTGATAGCGGGGACTACACGTGTACTGCAAGTAGCATATTGGGCCTAGACTTAGCAATGTCGACCATTATYATAATGAGTAAGTCCCTAATATGGTAGTTTTTGACCTTATAAGGAGAATTTTTACTGAATTTTATAAAAGCGGACATTTTTAGCTTTTCTTTTTCCTTTCATTTTTCTTCTATTCTTTTTCTTCTGGACTGAAAATCCAGTACTGTTGTTATATTCCRACTCGTTTTGGTTCTAGACCCAACAAAACCCAAAGTGCTGAGATCTACTGGGTATATAATCTGGTACGAGCATCGCCCCTTCAAGAGCACTATAGGAGACAACYTGACAACAATGAAGGGTCGTAAGCTAACTCTTGTCTGTCCAGCGAAGGGTATGCCACGCCCTGAAATCGCATGGTATCGAGGTGGCGAGAGAATGATYAACGAAGAAAATATTGTCATAAATGGGAATACTCTARTAATATCCGAYCTTAGTGTGTTCGACACGGACCGGTATACCTGTGTCGCTTATAACTATGCCGGTGCAGATGGTGCAACCACGACCTTGAAAGTTTTTGGTGAGTGTAGTCTACGTAAAGTTACGCTGTGTTGCGTTATCTTGCGTTTTGTTGCGTTTTATGCTATATCATGTGATGATATGTGGCGCTGACCTTCAAAGCTTATATGATCGATGTAGCTTACTTTACGCGGTGTTGTCTGGTTGCGTTCTTTTACGAGATGAACAAGTAATACTTGTACATTCAAATCTTTCTTATAATAGGTTTTTCATCGAGCTAATAAAGTATATTACGGAGACTTCAAATGTTTTTTCTATATTCTCATTGCCTGTGTTTTGTTAGATCCCGTTGCGCCGAAGATCTTTCCTTCGCTGACCTTCAAAGCTTATATGATCGATGTAGCTTACGTTACGCGATGTTTTGTTGCGTTCTTTTACGTAATTTTACGAGATGAACAAGTAATACTTGTACATTCAAATCTTTCTTATAATAGGTTTTTCATCGAGCTAATAAAGTATATTACGAACACTTCAAGGGTTTTTCTATATTCTTATTACCTGTGTTTCGGTAGATCCCGTTGCCCCGCAGATCTTTCCTTCTACTGGACTGGTCGACGCGCTGTCCGGTTACAGCCCCGTCAAAGTAACTGTCGGTCAAGACGTAATCGCTCCCGTCAAAAGCGAAGTCAAACTGATATGYCCATATAAGGGTGTACCACGSCCTAAGGTGCTTTGGATCAAAGACCATGTGGCTGTTACCTCTGACGATACGATCGAGGTGGACTGTAATGGAACTATTAAGTTTCATGGTATCAGGGCGAGTGATGCTGGCGAGTTTGTTTGTTATGTGGAGAGCTTTCTTGGCATWGATATGGCACTTTCTCACATCAAACTTGTTGGTAAGTCCATTATTTATGTTTTGTTATTCTAGCTATATTTTGTGTCAACTTTGTGTTGTTTTTGTTGTCGTGGTTGTTGCTGCTGGTAGTGTTGCTGTTGCCGGTGTTGCTGTTGTTGTTATTGTAGTTGTTGTTGTTGCTGTTGTTACTGCTGTTGTTGCTGTTGCTGTTAATGTTAATGTTGTTGTTGTTGTTGCTGTTGTTGCTGCTGCTGTTGTTGTTGTTAGTGTAATCATAGTCCATTCCTTGATTTAACTGCATATTCCATGACAGAAGGTAAACGAAAACATTGCATTTTCTCTCCAGAAAGAAGCATTCCTGTTATTCAAAAATCGAACAATGTCATTCCTCTAAGTGACAAGATTAAAGTCACAGCTACAATAGGRGATAACGTGACAGCGTTACCWACCCAGACAATAGAAATCAAGTGTAACGCAACRGGRATACCTWATCCTACCATCAAATGGACAAGAAACGGTGTTCAGATCAAATCAGTAGGGATGTATTCTATTGATGAGAGRGGRACACTGACTATCAACGGKGCWGGYAGAGATGGTTTGTATCAGTGCGTRGCRACGAATGACCAGGGATCTGATAGTGGAACCACACAGGTTACTGTCAAAGGTATAAATGAATAAATGGAAGGATGAATGGAAAGATGAATGAACACATGAGAATAAACACCTGAATAAATGGYTAAATGAACTGACTTTCAATATTGATTTGCTCCTGTTTCTAGAGCCAAAGCCTCCAGAGATTATATCACCAAGAAATCCAAAGAACATTCCCTTTACGCATAACAAGAACGTGACAATCAATATCAGAGATAACGTGACCGCACTGCCKGGTTCAAATATMACCATTAAGTGTCACGCAATCGGTGTTCCTGATCCAATCGTGACATGGCTTAAAGATGATAACGTGACACATTCTGTTAATAATGACAATTCATTGGTTATAAACAAAGCGTTAGAATCGGATGCAGGACG